GGAGCGGGGCGGGGCGGATGGAGCGGGGCGGAGCGGATGGAGCGGGGCGGGCGGGCTCCCTAGGTGGCTCCGCGGAATGCGGGCCTTCTCCCGGGAGGACCCTGCTGTCTGCTGCCGCAGTCCTGTTGGCTCCTTTCGGAGCCTCAGGCCCGAGCTCCGAGTCCCGCAGGTCCGCCGAGGAGTGGCCTCGGGCCGTGGGGGCTGAAGACCCCTGGAAGCAGAGGTCTGGCCTTGCCAGTTTGGTTGGGGGAGTTAAGACATTTATTCCAAATTATGAAGTTTGGTGAGGTTGCCAGGCACTCTTGGCATCCCTCCTTGGCCCTAAAATGCCGGTTTCCCTGCTCATCAAAGTCTATCCCAAACCCGGAGGCCTAATCATTTAATCGCTCCATCCTCTCTATCAGTCACCGCGAACAAACTACCAGGCTGGGTACCGGGTCTTTCTTCCGGCTCGTCTTCATCACCTCTTCATAAGCTGTAAGAGCGGCATTCTTACGGGGAAATAACAGCCTCTTCAACAGACGGTGCTGGCAAAACTGGACAGCTACATGCAAGAGAATGAAACTGGGTCACTGTCTAACCCCACACACAAAAGTAAACTCGAAATGGATCAAAGACCTGAATGTAAGTCTCATAAAACTCTTAGAAGACAACATGGGCAAAAATCTCTTGAATATAAACATGAGCAACTTTTTCCTGAACACGTCTGCTCAGGCAAGGGAAACAAAATGAAAAATGAGCAAATGGGACTACATCAAGCTAAAAAGCTTCTGTACAGCAAAGGACACCATCAGAACAGAAAGGCATACCGCAGTATGGGAGAATATATTCATAAATGACATATCTGACAAGGGGTTAACATCCAAAACATATAAAGAACTCACACGCCTCAACAACCAAAAAGCAAATAACCCTATTATAAAATGGGTGGAGGAGCTGAACAGACAGTTCTCCAAAGAAGAAATTCAGATGGCCAACAGGCACATGAAAAGATGCTCCACATCACTAATTATCAGGGAAATGCGAATTAAACCACAATGAGATATCACCTCACACCGGTTAGGATGGCTGGTATCGAAAAGACTAGGAACAACAAATGCTGGTGAGGGTGCAGAGAAAGGGGAACCCTTCTACACTACTGATGGGAATGTAAGCTAGTTCAACCATTGTGGAAAGCAATATGGAGGTTCCTCAAAAAATTAAAAATAGAAATAACATTTGACCCAGGAATTCCACTCCTGGGAATTTACCCAAAGAAAACAACTTCTCAGATTCAGAAAGACATATGCACCCCTATGTTTATCAGTGCCCTATTTACAATAGCCAAGATATGAGATGAATGGATGAAGAAGATGTGGTACATATGCTCAATGGAATGTTATTCAGCTGTAAGAAGAAAACAAATACTACCATTTGCAACAACATGGATGGAGCTAGAGGGTATTATGCTCAGTGAAATAAGCCAGGCAGAGAAAGACAAGTACCAAATCATTTCACTCATCTGTGGAGCATAAGAACAAAGTAAAACCTGAAAAAACAAAACAGCAGCCGACTCACAGAACCCAAGAATGGACTAACAGTTGCCAAAGGGAAAGGGACTGGGGATGGTGGGTGGGAAGGGAGGGAGAAGGGGAATAAGGGGCATTACAATCAGCACACATAATGTAGGGGGTTGGGGACATGGGGAAGACAGTATATACAGAGAAGACAAGTAATGATTCTACAGCATCTTACTACACTGATGGACAGTGACTGTAATGGGGTGTGTGGTGGGGACTTGATAATGGGGGGAATCTGGTAACCACAATGTTGCTCATGTGATTGTATATTAATGATACCAAAATAAAAAAATTAGAAAAAAAAATATCATTTGACCTGGGAATTCCACTCCTAGGAATTTACCCAAAAAACAACTCAGCTTCAAAAAAGCATATGCACCACTATGTTTATCACAGCACTTTTTACAATAGCCAAGACATGGAAGCAACCTAAGTGTCCATCAGTAGATGAATGGATAAGGAAGATGTGGTACATATACACAATGGAATATTGTTCGGCTATGAGAAGAAAACAAATCTACCATTTGCAGCAGCATGGATGGAGCTAGAGGGTATTATGCTCAGTGAAATAAGCCAGGTGGAGAAAGACAAGTACCAAGTGATTTCCCTCATTTGGGGAGTATAACAACGAAACTAAACTGAAGGAACGAAACAGCAGCAGACTGACAGAACCCGAGAAGGGGTTAGTGGTTACCAAAAGGGAGGGGCTGGGGAGGGTGGATGGGGAGGAGGGAGAAGGGGACTATGGGGTATCATGATTGGTGCACATGGTGTGTGTGGGGGTCACAGGGAAGTCAGTGTTGTTCAGAGAAGACAAATAGGGACTCTGTGGCATCTCACTACACTGATGGGCACTGCATTGGGTATGGGGGGGACTTAATAATAAGGGTGAATGTAATAACTACATTGTTTTTCTTGTGAAACCTTCGTAAGAGTGTATATCAATGATACCTTAATTTAAAAAATTACATATAAAAAAAAGTATTCTTATCAAGCTTCCACAGTTTAACAAGCTGGTTCACAAAAATTCGTGAGAACTTAGCAGTGTGGTCCTGATGGAGGCGTCCTAGCCCAGCACTGCTGGCCGCAGATCCTCTGTAGTGGGAATCGGCACAATGAATGAATAGTTTCAGGAAGAACAGAAGATGGACTCAGCAGGAAAAGAAAAGGTAGAGGGGGCTACGCGCAGAGCCAGGGTCAGCAGGGCTACGAGTTCACGCGGTCTGAGGGGCCCTCTTTAAGAAAAAGCATTAAAAATGACAAACAGAGGTGGAGCTTTGGTGGGGCCAGTGCAAGTCAGAGGTCCTTAAAGGCTTTTAGGTTCCATCTGGATCTACCACTAAGTCCTGGGGAAGGGGAGGCACGAGGGAAGGGTAGCTGGGTGACTGTGGGAAAGGCCAACCTGGGCAGAGGGAAGGGCCAGGCCCGTGAAAGGGGGCTGAGGCGGGAAGGCCCACTGCCCTGGAGGAGGAGGCTGGCGCGCACTGAGCGTGCGGGAGTGCAGGGAGCCGGGGCCAGAGAGACAGGCCCCCTAGGGGATGGTGCTTTCACCAGGGCTTGAACTGTGGCGACTGTGGGCACCACTTTAGGAAGCTCACCCTCCCTTTGGGTTAAGGATGGATATCAGGGTAGTCAGGAGTGGCAGATATTGGTTAACGGGTTGGTGTAGTGATTCTGGTGGGAGATGTGGGAGGCTCAGACCAGGTGGGGGCTGCCAAGGGGCCAGGTGTGTGGCTGGGAGTGCAGGCTGGGCATCCCCTGGAGGAGAGCAGAGGTGGAAGCTGAGTTTCTGTGGGCTAAGGGGTAAACAGTAGGTGGGGGACAGAGAGCAGAGACGGGCCGCAAGCAAACGCAGCATGTGGAGGGAGGGACTTTGGCAGCAAGAAATGTAGGGTTTTGAAGGCACAGCCGGGGTGCAAGGCCTGCACTGGCTCTGCCAGGCCCTGCCTGCACCTGCATTTCCCCTTCTGTGGTGAGGGCTGGCTTCACACAGCGCCTGTGCCTTCTGGAGTCAGCGGTGCCAACAGCAGTGACGATCCTGAAGATAGTACAGGGTGGGAAGAGGGCACACACTGCAGGTGGGATGGGGACCTGGAGTTGGAGCAGGTGGGGGGCTGCCAGGCCTTGGGCAGAGCCACTCACCCTTCACTTGAGCCAATGTATGCGCCTGGTCGCCTGCTAGGTGGGAAGGGCTTGGAGCAGGGTTTGGAAGGTTGCTGGGAAACCTGAGAGCCCGCCTCAGCCAGGGGTGGGCCTGGAGACACAAGCTGCATGGGGGTAACACCCACAGAGGCTTGGGGTCTGTGAGCGGGGACCAGTAGCTGGAGCCCCTGGTAGATTTGGCAGGGAGGACGATTGCCCATCTGAGGGTCACAGGGAGAGGCCAGCGGGAGTGGAGGACCTCCAAGGGCCACTCCCTTGACCTATGGGCTGGGTGGAACAGATGGGACTGGTGGGCTGGGCTGAGGGGGCAGGCCCAGCCAACATCTCCCTAGCTGGAGGGCTCTTTGTGGCATGAGGAGCTGGGGGCTGAGGTGTGAGGTTCTACGGGAGGGGCCTGCAAGCCAGAGGGGAATGTCCCAGCCCCCTCCCTCCGTCCCCCAGGCAGTCTGGCTTTTGCTGCTCCGGGCCCTGGCCTTCTGCCTGCTGCACAGACTCCTGGTCCTGGCTGAAGGTGAGGCTGGCAGAGGAGTGTAAGTGTGGGATGCGGGCTGCCCATGATGGGGGGGGCGTGCCAGGGGGCATTGCTGAGGGGCCCGGAGGGGGCAGGGAGGGTGGGGTGGGGCTGTGGAGCAGCTACCCTACGCCCCAACCCGGCCCAGGGGTCCTGTGGGGAGCAGGAGTGGAGGCGAGGGCCGCAGTGGGGCTCGGCGGCTGTCCCCCACCCCCGACTTCCTGGCGAGCTGCTTGCACTCTGCTTCTAGAGCACCAGTGCTCTGTGAGGGGCCTGTGTTAAGTTGGCAGAGAACTGGGCACGAGGGCATATTCACCTTTTGGGAGACTGCAGGTGAGAGGCTGATTGACAGGGGCAGCCTGGCCCCCCAGCGGCCGGCCCTGACACCCTACCCCCACCCTTGCCTTTAGACATAGCGAGGGTTTTTGGCCCAGGAGGACTACATGCTACACGGTGCTTGGCTGAGCCTGCAGCCTGACCTACCGTGGGCTCCTGCCTGCCTGCTGCTCCAGGGACTGCCCCCTGGCACTGCCTCCCAGAGCCTGGAGCAACACATCCAGGCCCTGCTGCAGGCCATGGGGCACCCAGAGCAGGCCTGTCATGCCTGTCTGAGGCAGGTGAGAGCTAAGTTCAGCCAGAGGTGCCTGTTAGGGAAGATGCCCAGAGATGACTTGCAGCCCTGCCCACAGACGCCTGTGTTCTGCAGGGGCAAGCCTGAGCCCTGGGCCAGAGTGGGCCAAGGCGTCCCTCGCCTCAAGTGCCCCGGGGCCGAGCAGTGCGTGTGGTGGGGGCACCCGCGGCAGACCTGCTGCCATTGGGCTGCGCCTAGAGCATGAGTGCGCCAGTGGCGGCGGCCCTGGAGGGCACTGCCGTCTCCTTCCAGCACTGGCAGGGTAAGTGGGGCCACCAGGCTCACCTGGCCCACCCCAACTGCGGACCCCGATGGCCCTCTGTGCTCTCCCCCTAGTGGCGAGCGGGTGCTGCAGGGGGACCCCTGGCTGCGAGGCTCAGAGCTGAGTCCTGCTCCCTGCTATGACTTCCTGGACCCTGAGGGGCTTTCAGAGGACGCCAGGGGAGGGCACTACCTGGCTGCTCTCCCTGAGGCTGGAGGGCCAGCAAGGGCTCGGAAGGGTGCAGGGATTGGACAGTGGGCCCCAGGGAGGCACTAGGTCCTGCAGGGTCTCTGCGCCAGGCCAGGCCCGTCAGCCCAAGGCCTGTTGTGTCCCCAGGACAGGAGGGGCTGAGGCCTGCGGGGCACTGAGGCAGGACGGCCTGGTGGAGACTGCTGGTGAAGCAGCCAGGACCCAAGTGCTTCGTCCTGCTCTGCCATGAGGATCTTCTTGCTCACCTGGGAGATGCTGCCCTCTTCCCACTTGAAGGGTCAGATGTGACTGACTTGGGTGAGTGACCCCTGAAGACTCCTCACCTTTGGCCCCCTCTCTCTCACTGGGGGCTCTGGGTAGCTTTCCTATGCCCTAAGCCTTTGAATCGCCCCCCAGCCCCTGGTCCTGCAGTTCTGCAGAGCCCTGGCCCCATGCCAGGTGGTGGAGGAATTTCCATAAAGTCTGCCAGGCAGTGTTAGCCACCACCTGCTGAGCCTGAGGCACACAGGCAGTGCCAGCTTCCTGCTGGGTGCCGAGGAGCAACACCTTCTTCAGGGGCTACAGGCTTATTTCCGGTATTTCCTTGTAACAAAGCATCTGGCCAGAGTGGTCCTGGACACAGACGCTGGGCAGGTAGTGACGGAGCCTGCCTCTGCCCCTCCGTTTTCTCACACGTCAGCACCAGCTGCTCCTCCACCCTCGCTCAGAGGCCCGGCAGGAGTGTGTGCCCAGTGGGCCCCGACATTCTCACCTGACAGGCAGACCCCACTGAGGTCTTCCAGGCCCTCCCTAGCCACTCGCACATCCTGTGGCCCCCATAAAGTACAGGCAATAAGCAGGAGAATGTGAGCCTGGGCAGGGCTCCCTGAGGATCCCCCGCACGTCCAGTGGTCCTTTCCTGACCTCGGCCTCTGCCCTGCTCTGCAGGCGCACCTGTCTTATGCCCTGCACCCACTTAACCTTCTGTCCACTTTCCACGAGTTCCCTGACCTGACGTGCCCTTCAGCCCCACCTGTCTGGGCTTGACCCCAGCCTAGTGCCTCTCCTGCCCCCAGAGGAGGCTGGAGAACTGCTGGCCACTCCGAAGGGCCTGGCAGGGAGAACTGGCTACCCCTGGAGCTGGGGGGGAGGAGCTGGAGGAGCGGCTGGAGGAGCACCTGTGCCCAGGGCTGAGGAAGGGCCTGTGGCCCCCAGCACAGGGGTGCCTGGGCAGCTCGAGAGGAGTGCAGCCGGCTCTCCCCAGGTCACTGGAGCCGCAGGGCGGGGTGGCTGAGCAGGAGGCCTGCCCTCTCCCTGCTCGGGCCACCCCCGTTGGAGGGAGAGGGGATCCCAGGAGATGAGACTGGTGGCGGGGCCCGCCTGGTGGTGCACATGGCCTTTGAGAAGGACGTGGACGAGCTGGCCTGGAGCTAGGAGCTGCCTCGGAAGTGCACCTCTGGGAGGGGGTGGTGGGGCCCCAGGGCCGCATGCTGCCTGCGGAGCTTCACACCTACCTGAGGAGCTGCCCCGGTGTGAGCCCCATCCCCCCAGTAACTGCGCTGTCCCGCGTGGCGTCGGGGCCCAGCCTGCCATGTGGCCCACCACTTAGCACCCCTGGATCGGAGTTTGGCCTCTCTCTGGGTGTCCTTAGGCCCCACCTGGGAGTCTGCCCCCCGGACTGGGCAAGGATGGGTTAGGCCCCAGGCATGGCTGGCCGAGAGCAGCAGGGAGCTCCAGAGGGCGGTGCAGGCCTTCTAGGGCACCGGGCACACTGCCAGCAGCAGGATCTGCGTCGCCCGGGTGAGCCCGTGCTCCATCCCTCCGGCTTCATGGCCCGTTCAGAGCCTGAGGGCCATCCCTCTGGCCTCCATCAGGGTCAGCTGACCAGAAGCTGCCCAGTGTGGGGAGGGCTGGAAGCTGTCAGGGGATGGGGGAGCCCCCTAGCCCTGCTCCCTGCCTGGAGAGCATTCACCCAGGCTGGGTGGGAGACAGGAAGACACCCGGGTGGGGCCCTGGGACTGACAGACCTGAGCACGGGTCCCCACTCTGCCAGCTGCAGCTACATGGCTGTGGATGGTGTGCCTTCCATGCTTCAGTGTCCTCACTGGGAGCATGGGGTGGCGAGGCCATCTCGTGGCTTTTGGCCACTGTGAGCACTGTTCATGCCAGTCCAGCCCTACTGCTGTTCCTGGGGCTTCCCCGCCTCCCATGGTGTCTGCCCCGGCAAGAAGAGGGCTAGCCACAGAGCGGCACGTTCATCCTGCATTCTTACTAAATGTGGCAACTCTGAGTATGAGTGCTTCATAAAAAGTCTGGGAACTCCTGGTAGGGAGCCAGAGTGAAACCTCAAGAAGCCCCAGGAGGCCCCCCTGTCAGGAAGGAGGAAGAGGCCAAGAAGGAGGGACCAGGGAGGCAACAGGGGGTTCGGGAGGGCAGTGAGGCCCACAGTGGCTGCAGGGCCAGAGGAAGACCTGAGGAGGAGGCTCTGCCAGGCTGGCCTGCTGGCCAGTGAGCAAGAGGCCAGCGCCGGTAACTGCCGAGGGCTGATGGCAGCCAGGCCAGGAGAAAGGGGCGGCAGAGGGCTGGCAGGTCATGTCGACTCTTGGTGCGCAGAGGTGTGGGTAGGCCAGCAGCGTCAGCAACCTCCTGCCCTCCCCAGACCTGCCCTGCCACCTGCCACCACCTGCCGCAAGCGTTTACCTGGAGCCAGCCACTGTGACTTTGCGTCAAGGGCTTCCGCTGTTTCTGGACTTAGCAGCTATCACTGCCGCACTGGGAGAGGAGGGCACAGTGCTTGGGCCTTACTCCCTTTGCTGGCTCGGTCAGTATGGGCACTCGATTCTCTGGCGAGCACCTTTGTGACTTCAGGTGGAGCGCTGGAATCTTTGTTCTCACTTAACAACCTCAGAGCCAGTTTCATGCCCCTGCAGATGAGGACAGTGGGCTTTCCTTCCCCTCGGTCGCTCCCTCTTCCCTCTTCCATCTCACAGTCGGTCAGTTGCGTGATTTTTATTATGTCATCAAGGTGAACAAACAAATGTCTTCTTAACTATCACACAGCTCCATGCTTGGGCCAAAGGTTGATGGACATATAGTGATTATTCAAAAATATTTACCGTTGAACCATAGAGGAGTTAGAGAATTGAAATCCCAGTTTTGTGTTGCATGAAAGAGAATATTCTCAGATTCAAAGACTAAGAGCTCTTAATTTTTTGACTTTCTTCTTTCCTGTTATATTTTGCTGTTGGGTTATGCTTTGTGCCTACCATCCCCTCCATCACCCTCTTGCACAGATTATTTTTTGTTTAGTAGAAGTATCTCCTAGTGGGTAGTAAACATCCTGGGCTTTTACGTTTATTTTGCCTTTTATGATTACAAGTAATTTCTAACTATCATTTGATGTTGGGATACACTTTTTTTCAAGCAAAAGTTGCTACGTACTTATTAAGACATTTCCATTACCCAATACACGCACATCTTCGTAAGTCCTTTTGTCCTCAACGATCAATAGTTTGGCTATCCTGAATATAGTGTTTAGTTTTCCTTCAGATCTTTGAAAGACATTACTCTTTTTCTTTCCTCTAAAAATTTTTGTTTTGCGAAAGTTAAAATACCTCCCCCCTCTCTGGCCTCTTAGCATCTCGCTGGCGGTAAACCTGATGTGGGAATGTGAGCATCTGCTCCACTTGTCTGTCCACTGCAGGGTGTGTATTTTCTTTTGCTTGAAAGTTGACGTTTTCCTGGTGGGTAGGTGCCTGAGTGTGTCTTTCCCCACTGTCCTTGGCATGTTATGGCTCTGTAGATGCCACACCGGCTTAGGGAGACTGTCCCACCTGCCCTGCGACCCTTCTGCTCCCTTCTTGTCAAAACCCTCTTTCACACCGAGTCACTCCCTGGCTGCGTCCTTCATCCACCATCTGCCTCCCACTGGGTTTAACCTCGGCCATTCCATTCTCAGTGCTTCCAGACTTTTCTTCTCCCCAGAAGTTTCTCTTGCTTTACGGATATCATATTTTCACATCCCCCTGAATTCAGAGACTAGTTAGATGTCTTTAAGAGCTCTGCTTAGGCCACTGAATCAGCTCCTCCACAGCTGACTGAGGTCCAGGGGCAGCGCTTGGTTTGGGGGTGGGATCCTGCAGGCCCGAGTAGGCACCTGCCTCAGCTTTGCTCTGCAGAGGCCTGGCTGCAGGTGACGAGTTCTGGTGAGTGGTTGGGTTTGCCCACATTACAGGCCACCTGGAAGGATCAAGACTTGCTGGAGGGGTCCGTCCAGGCAGCTACGGTCTGCCTGCTGTCTGCCTCTGCCCCCCTGGAGAGGGCTCAGCTCTATCCCAGCACAGGGGTGGTCGGGGTGGTGGGGTTGGGTGGGGTGGGGTGGGAGAGGGTGGGTAGAGAGGAGGGAAGACCTCCCAATGATCTGGCCCTGACTGCAGCTCCCGCAGGTGGAGTGCGTGTGGCATCCGCTGCTCCCACAGCAGTACCATCTGTACCCTAGCGGCACAGAGCAGGCCCTGTACCACGGCGCATCTGCTCGGGGCGGCCCGAACATCTGCGCGGACGCCTTCAACTGCAGCTTCAGTGGCTGCAGTGGTGAGGCCTGGGTCCCAGGAAGTGGGCCCCACTGACCCTGACGACCCTGACCCTGCTGGTCCCACCCAGCAGGCACACTCTATGGGCAGGGCGCGTTTACTTCACCAAGCGCACCTCCCTGTGGGCGCAGGACCGCTAGGCACCTCCCAGCTACGACGGCCACGTATCTGTGGCTCGGGTGCTGACTGACGACCACGGACTGGGCCGCCGTGGCTTGCGGGCACCACCTCCTCGGGCCCGAGGACACGCGCTCTACGCTACGACCTCGTCGCGGACCGCCTCCGCCAGCCCAGCATCTTCGTCATCTTTCACGACATCCAGGCGCTGCCCACCCACCGCATCACCTGTGAGCACAAGCCCCGCGCTTCCGCGGACCCCTCTGGGCTCTTCAGTCACTTCCCGTCTGCCTAACCCGGGAGGCTCCGCTGGCCCAGCCTCTGCCCGGCGCACAGCCTTACCGCCCCCTGCGCTGTCTGCACCGCCCCAGGGGGTGTCCCCGCGTCCCGCTGCGGCGCGGGGACGGGTGGTGCGGACGCGAGTGGCTGGGGCCTTGTCCTCTGTGGGTCCCGGTCCGGCCTGGGCCGGTCCAACCACTAGGGGTCAGCAGAGCCCTGGAGGAGGGTGGGCCGGCCCGACAACGCCCGTCTCCGCCAGACCTCGCCAGAGCGCGACGCTGTTGCTTGAAAAAAGTGTACTTGAAACCAGGCGGAGGCGCCCTCCGGGGCTCTGGGTCCGATCTCCGCATGGGGGCGGGGTCCCTTGGCGTGGCTAAAGGTGCAGGCGGCGGGGTGGGGGCGGGGCAGAGCGCGCGGCTCCTTGGGGTGGCCCTTGGTGCCCGGCCGACACCTGACCCAGCGCGCACCCTGCGACCCCGCGCCGCCTTAGTGTCACGCACGCTGCCCCAACAACGTCTCCTTGCTGACCCTCTCGGTAAGCGCGGGGAGGGACTGCGCCTGGCTACCCGAGTGCGCACGGCGGGGGCGCTGCCCAGGCCGCGCGGCACTTGCGCTCCGGCCGCCGCCTCGGGGAGCCCGGGTCCCCGGCGCGCTCGGGTGTCGGGATCTCAAGGGCGGCGCTCGGCTTGGGGCCGGGGCGGGGCTCCGGGTTCGCCCCGCCCGCTCCGTCTCGGCAGCTCTCCTTGCCCAGCAGTCTTGCTGCGGCGGCCGAGCCGAGCCTAGCCGAACTGAGCCACCAGGCACGTAAGACCGCAGCTGGGATGGAGAGGCGCGCAGCTTGCGGGAGCTGCGGGGAGGAGTGGGGGCTCTCTGGCCGCTGACGTCCCGGAACTAGGGACTGCGTCGGTGCCCGTCCTCCCTCGGAGACACCACCTCTGCGCGCGGAGACTGCGGAACTGGACGGGCGGTGCCTGGGGCGGGGTGGGCAGGAAAGGCTGCTGGGCAGGCGCGGCTGGCGGTGGGCCGTGGGGTGGGGGTCTGGAGCTCAGGCGGCCGGTGAAGGCGCCTGCGGAGGCGGGGCGGGCGGGGTTGCGGCCAGTTCGGTGCCCACTGTCTCCTCCCCAGCCCTTAGCCTGAGGGCGGGAGCACAGAGCCCACATTGTGCCCCGCGCCACCCCACCCTGCCAGGACGGAGCCCCGTTCACCTCTGCGCGTCAGCTCTCCGGGGGACGCGGAGCTGAGGCGCGTGCACACGTGGGTGTGCGTGCGCTTTGGCCGCTCACGCCGCGCGGGCGGTGCGGGTGTGCTGGTGGCGCGGGCTCTTTCCCAGCCGTGCGGCAGCCGAGCCCCTGCGGCCCACGCCGCTGCGGCTCCAGCTATTTATAGGCCTTCATTGCGGAGAGCAAGGTGGGACTGCGCGGGGGCTGGGGGCGTGGTAGGGATGGGAACGCCTAGAAGCGGAGGCAGCTTTGAGGTAGCCGGAGGCCAGGGGATGTGGTTGGGGTCCTTCCCTGATGGCTGAGGGGCTGCGATCAGTGTTTCCCGATGGCCCCACTTGCCTGCTGATCAGAGGGTTAGAGAAGACGCGGCCCAGATTTGGGATGGAGCGGGTGAAGGTCAGTGTCCGAGTGATGGGGTGAAAGGCAGCGTCAGCGTCCAAGTGACGGGAAGCATCCCCTCTTCTCCCGGCCCACAGGGCAGAGGGTGGAGGGTGAGATCTGTGTCCTCTGAAGGAGGAACCCCTGGGTGACAGTGTTTGGGTGACTAAGAGAAGGAAGTGGCAGTCGGTGTCTGGGGGAGCTTGCTGTGGAGTTTCTGCGGGCGAGCCGGAGGGGGTCAGGCCAGCGGAGGGTGGGGGTAGGGCTGTCAGTGTCTGGGCTGAGAGGGCAGGGATCCGTATGTGGATGAAGTGGGGCAGAGGAGGGATGTGCGTGTCACTGCAGAGGGCATAGGGTGGAGGGGGTGGGTCCATGTCTAGGTTTAGAAGCTGGTGGGTCAGTGTGCAGAACCCCCACCTCAAAAAAGGCATAACCCCTTTCTGCCCCTCTCCAGGAGGCCATGTCCGGCGAGGACCATGAGGAGCGGACAGTGGCCGAGGAGGCCAACGGAGGCAGTGGCTCGCCCAGCCCCGGGGACACATTGCCCTGGAACCTGGAGAAAACGCAGCGGAGCCGGCGAGGCGGAGGAGGCTCCGGGGGCAACGGGAGTGTCTTGGACCCCGCCGAGCGTGCCGTCATCCGCATTGCAGGTAACGCTGAAGGGGCTGGTCCTCCAAGTCCCGCGCAGAAGCACTTGCCTGTTGGTTGTGCCCCTGATGCGAGAGGTGCAGGTGTGGGGATGAGAGGCCGGCTCTAGTGCAGGTGACCGCGTACAGCACAGTGCCACCTGCTGGCCCCACCCGGGCAGCCGCCTGAGGCCTGGGGTTGAGCTGCACTGCTGACGTCATTGGCTTCATGACAGAACCAGTGCCCAGGTGCCATGATGGTACTTTCTTGGGCTCCTGGGGCAGCACCACCTTCCAGGCCCCCTGGTCTTGCCTGCTGCCATGGGGAGTGGGCGGTGGAAGCATGTAGGAGCAGGACAGGAGGGGCCACCTGGTTGCTGAGAGCCCAGTCCCTCCCTGAGCTTGGGTCCAGCCTTGCCCTCTAGCAGCTGCTATCCCCTGGGGGGAGGATGGGAGAGCGCCAGAGAGAGGCTGCACAGTGTAGGGCTGGCAGCCAGAGGGCAGCCTCTCCCTCTGGGAAGGGGGTAACCTTGTGCTGGGAAAAGGAGGAGCCAGCTGAGCGTCTCTAAGCCCAGGCTTCAGAGTCCTGGCCCCTTTGTGCTGCTAGGACAGGATGGTGGTGCGGGGTCAGGAGGCTGCGCGGGGTGGGGAGGAGGCCCAGCAGGCCAGCTGCCGCCTGTGCGAGGAACTCTGTGGGTGGAAGCGCACGCCGCCTCCCCCGGCCGAGCAAGCTGTATGAGGACAGCCCCAAGCTCAGGGCCTTCCCCCAGCACATGTGGGTGTTAAAGAACGAGGTCCATTTCTATCCACAAGAAAGCGCAGCGTGAAGGTCCTCCGCACCTCGACCTTCTTCGCCCAGGGCCCTGGTGGTCTTCGGCTCCCAGCGCTGCAGGCCAGGCCTCTTTGCGTCTCCTGACGACTTTCTCAGGAGGGTTCCGAGAAGTGGGGCTGCTGATTACAAGGTCTGCAGCTTTTAGGTTAGGGGGGAATGCTGCCAGGGGCGGTTCCCGGAGGACTTCCGTCAGCAGGGCAGACCTGATGGGGGGAAAGTAATTTGTTTTTATTTTTACCAAGCATTTTTTCTTCTGTAAATTGCCTATTTCAATCTCTTTAGACATAGTAAATTCTTTCTGTATTTTAAGGTTCTTCTTATACTGAAATACCAGTTCTATGTCCAGTGTTGCTGTGAAAGAGTCTAAGTAGCGGTGGAGGGAGGAGGGCGGAGGCGCGCCCGGCGTGGCCAGGAGGGGTCGCGGGAGGGGTGGGAGCTGGCGACACGGGGGCCGCTGCGGGGCGGGCAGCCGGGCAGGGGCAGTTCAGGCTGTGGGCGGCCCCCGACCCGGTCGGGAGCCGGCAGGGTTGCACGTGCTCGGAGGTTGCCGAGCCCGCGCGCGACGAGCCCACTCAGGGACGCGACTGGGTGCTGGGCCGCAGTTCGCGGGGCCCTCGGGGCCTCCTCGGGGCGTGGCCTTCCGAGGCGGGGCGGGGCCTTCTAGGGGGCGTGGCGGGGCCTCCCGGGGGCGGGCCGGGCCGGGCCGGGCCACCCCCGAGAGCCGCGCGGCGGCCGCGGGGACAGAGTGGCCGCCGGGGCTGGAGGCCCTATCTGCGTCGCAGCGCCCCGCCGCGCCCCGGCATGGCCGCCCTGCCGCCGCCCGACGAGCAGGACTTCATCCAGGCCTACGAGGAGGTGCGGGAGAAGTATAAAGGTAGGCACCGGGCGGCGCGCCCTGAGGGCGGCCTGCGGCCAGGCCGGCCCTGGCGGGTCCTCCAGCCTGACAGCCCGGCCTCTGACACCTTGTCTTGGTGGCCGGCCGATCGCGGCACAGGCTGCGCCCAGGCCCCTCCGCACTCGGCCCGTGGCCGCCGGGCGGGGAAGAGGCGCGAGCTCGGCGGAGACCCCGCGGTCATGCCCTTAATAGGGCATCGCGCGGCGCGGGCGGGAGGGTGGGGTGGGCCGCACCCCCGGCGGGGGCTCTCCTGGGCCGGTGTCCAGTGTCCCGAGGCTATGCCTAGTAGACACGTGGGTCAAGGCTGAGCCGATCCCTGCCCCTCAGCTGGGTGCCTCCCCCGTGGGATGGAGTCGCTGCCACCACCTGGCAGTGGGTTGCATAGTTGTGGCCTCTCCTCACCTCCTCAAACTGGCCAGCATCTAGGCTGCCACACTTCCTTGGCAGGGACCCCTGTTACACCCGTTCGCTGTCCCCGGAGGACAGCTGTGGGCTGTGTAAGTCAGAGCAGCGCCCTCTTCCTCCTTAGAGGAACCCACTCTTGGCTTTGGGAGACCCCTTTGCCCTGCTCTTTGCCCCCCGGGGCCTCGGGATCTGCCTGGGCTCTCACCACGGTCAGCTGCCTGGCTGGCTGGCTGGAGCAGGTATGCACACAGCCCTTGGCTGCCCTCCCGCAGAGGCTTAGGGGCCCGGGCGTGAGCTGGGGGAGAGGGTCGAGGTGGGGGCCCTGGGCAGAGCCAACCAGAGCAGGTTCCAGCCCCACAGGGCTAGTTTTGCTGCCTCTGCCCCCAAGGGCAGCCCAGGGAACAATGTCTTGCTGGGGCCGTGCCTGGAGCCCCGTGGAGCTGCCGTCCACGCTGTGACCTCGCCAGGGGCCGAGAGGCTTCACAAGGGCCGGGGCTCATCTCTGCCTGGTGGCCTCTGCTTGCCTTTCACTGGCTCCCAGGCAGGGTGGATGTGCCGTGTGGCTCTTGTCAGCGCTGTGGCCGACCCGTCCTGCCTCTTGCCAGTTTGTCTGGGCCAGGTAGAGATACTCCCCTGCCAGTGGGCTCCAGAGCCACCCGCTGTCCCTCCTGCACAGCTGCCCTGCCTTGGAGGTCCACCTGGAAGGCCCAGGGAAGGAAGTCCCACTTGGGCCACAGCCCTGCAGACAAGCCCAGGGCGGAACCACTTATGACCTGGCTCGTTTAAAGTGAGCACACTGCACGGAGTGAACAGTGCCCCACTGCAGACTCCTCCTTTGTCTGCTCAGGTCACAGACCTGCGCCTGGTCCCAGAGCCTGTCCTGGGCGCCGTACTGAAGCTGGCCTGAGGGGCTGTGTTCCCTCCCCTCAGCGGGGTGGGGCCGACCTCCCAGGAGTGAGGCCTGACCGAGCCCTGGGGCTTCCTGTCACAGGGCCCTCTTCCCAGCCCAGCTTCCCTGGACACCAGGCTTGGCGCGTGACACACTGGGTTTGGTGAGGGGGGCAGTGGGTGATCTTGCCTTTTTCCTGCTGGTGGGCTCCAGGACACCTTCCCGAAGTGGACTGGTGAGTGCCACGAGGCAGCTCGTCCTTTCTGTGGCCTTTGTCTGACGGAG